ATATAAAAGCTAACTTCTCACTTGGGCAAGACAGGAATACTTTAAGTTTGGTCTAAAATGAGTGACACTTGACAATTATGTGCTCAAGTGATTTTTTTTCCCAGTTTTCACACACTTTTGTCTTTATTTTAAAAGATGGTTTTCATGAAGGCATGAACAGAATGTGGAGTATTAGTTTATCTGCCAGTACACGCAGTAGGAAAGATATGCAATATTTTTGGCCTTGAAAAAAGATGGTCACATTCAAGGGATTTCTGAATGGTGAAAAGGATAGCAGTCGGTCAATGGAAATACTGAATTTGAAACACCCTAACATTTTCTACCAAGAAATAAGCACATGAGTCGTAGCTGCATAGTAATAGTAGCTGAACACATTCATTATACTTGCACGCATTTCTCATAAGTATATCAAAAATACCTGGCTTGTCCTTGGTCATTAACAGCCAACATTTGGTCTGTGACAAGAATACTACATTTCTTATTCATGTTGCTGGTGCCTTCTTTCAAACAGACGGTTGACGGTGGAGATTTTTTTTTATACATAACAGTTAAAAAGAACGCTGAATACCTCAATGGAGCCAAGAGTCATACATTTTACTTACAGACAAGTAAATGACATAACCTCACCAACTAATTCAGATATACATTATTCCAGTAATATCCAACTTTGCCAAACTCTCTGTCTCCATCTATTGCCCTGTGCCTTATTATTTTTCTGGGTCTATCTGAAGAATATCAAAAGTGACAGAAGCACACATTTTAACAACTTGCGACTCCCATTAAAGGATTATACATTGCAAAAATATCTTCATGCCACCTGTTAGTTCTGCATTGGACACATTTCCACTGATGCGGGAGAGGGGAGAAATAACACCTCACTAAAATATCCACTAGCCCACATTTCCCCTGGGAAAAAAAATGTGTGCGCACATGGGGAAAAGTGATGAATGTTACATATGGTAGCTGCACTGTAGTAAGAGCAAAAAAGGGCCTGGATAGTCTGCACGGCAGGGTACCTAATCTGTGCATACAAAACATGGCTTGGTTCCATAAACATGCAATTAGGTGCTGTTCAAAAAAAGCCATTATTTACAGCTGAGACTTGATATCCATGAATTACACTGCAATTCATTTGTTGGATATCCTTTTGCAAGGCAAGGCTTTGGTTGAGGTTTATAGTAAAGCATTCCGGTGCCAACGGCTCCTCTTACAAATGGGCACTGATCTTTCAGGTGAAAGGAGCCCCATAAATGCAATACATTAATCGGTCGCTATTTTAAATGGGAGCAGGGGGAAGAAACACGAAAAGAAACCAATGCAAATTAAATGACAAAACCTTGTCCCGGTGAAGTCAAAGGGAAGTTTGCCAGAGGTCTAGAGCAACCCACTAAAGAGCCAATGAAACTGCTGCTCTAGTTTCAACCGCTGGATGCTGTGCCTTGTCCTTTCCAGTATTCATACAATATTGATCGATTATAAAACGTTAATGCAATGCTTGCCATCGCCCAACAAGAATATCGAAGCCAAGAGCGGTGTGGAACTTGCCCAATGAACCTCCAACTGGGTCACTCCTGGACTCAAGCTTTGCAGCCAACACCAACTCTCCCCTTCCAAGCAAGCAGAGAAACCTTTCTTTAAGTGTTCCTGGTTCAAAAGTTGCCTATTGCTCCCATCTAGAACTGGGCAGGAAATGGTTTTCCCATCCCGTAAAACTTTGATACCTCAAAAATGTCCCCGATATTCAAAGAGAGTGCACGACTGCCCAGTCATTACAGCATTTGCCTAAAACATGAATTCATGTTCATACCGCATTGGACCTGAGAAACCGCACCGCCTCCCTAGGTAATCTATCCCTATGCTTGACCACATTTACAGTGACAAAGTTTTTCCCAACAGTCAGTCTAAATTTGCCTCATTACTTCTTGCAGGCCTCTCTCCTTGGGTCCCCTGTGCTTCAAGGTTGCTCAGAAAGCACTTCTGGAGGTGACCAAGTCCAAACCCCTGCCCGAGGCTGCTGGGTTATCCAAACCATCCCATGCAAACCTCTGTCTTGCCTGCCTGCAGCTCAGGAACCCAGGGGCACATTTCAGTGACCAGGCGAATTGCCTTGAGATGGGGGTCAGCCTCCTCAGGACTTCTGATCAGTATATGAGACTTTTTCTGCCCCCCAGATGCTTCCACTTGCTGCCCCTCAGCTCTGTGTAGACATTAGGACCTCCAGGCATCTGCTGTCACCCCGTCGGGAACAGCACGTCAGAAAACACAAGGAACAAGGGCTTAGCTAAGGACTCTCTACACCACAGCAACTTTATGAACTAGTTGGGGC